TAGAGGAGATGGAGAAGAGATGGGTCAAAGAACGCCCGCTCTGAGGAGGTGACCGCTTCCTTGCTGGCCTGGAAAGCTGAGTACAGGTGGCCTGCGGCCAGCTCGGCCATGGCACTCTGTGCTGAGGACACTGCTTGGTACACCTGTGTGGGAACCACACCGACGGTCAGTTGCCAGCCAGGGAGGACAAGAGAAACAAGCCGGGGGGCTTTGCTCACAGCACTGCACAGTGACACACAGCCACCTCCGCCCTACCCACCCCAGGCTGCCCAGCCCTACCTCAGAGGCAACATCGTCTTTGATGACAATGTTCCCGATCTTGTCCAGGAGCTGGGCCAAGGAGGTCAAGGTAGTGGACACGGTGGCGATGTTCTCCACGGTGTGGGCCCAGAGCAGGCGGTCCAGCTCCCAGTCAGCCAGCCCCTCGTTCCCTGGCCTCTCCAGCAGGAACTCAGGGGGCAGCTCTTCCCGAGATAACCCAAAGAGTAACCTAGGAGTAGAGGGGAGACCCCAGCCCACATCGCAAGCCTGCAGTCCCACATGTGCTCCCTGCTCTTCCCTCTCTCTGCTGCTTTCGGTCCTGGCAGGGCTTAACCATGCCTGATGACCTCCTGGACGTGGGGCAGGACAGGACAAGCCTCCTACCTCGGAAGACGGGAGATGCAACACTACCACTGGCCAGGGAGCAGCGCTGGCTAGTGCTCAGCCACCCTCAGCTCCCCCGAGCCCACGGGGGAAGCAAATGAGCTGCATGGGTACAGCCTGCCCTGACCCCATGGATTTCCAAACGTGTCAGGAGAGCACAGAGGGCTGGGAAGGGATGAGGGAAAACTCACCGGAGCTGGGCCAGGAAAACCTCCATCACTCGCACCATGTCCACGTCCACACGCAGCGGGAGGGAGACTTGAGGAGAAGCAGGGGCTTCGACGTTGTACACCTGCAGCACAGCGTGTCAGCAAGGCATGGCCAGAGCCCTGGGGCTGGCAGGGCTGCCAGCGCTCAGTGGGGACAGGGAGCCTTCTCCGAGCACTGCCAGCACCCCTCTGCCCCCGTACCATGATGCCACCCCAGCGGGGGCTGTGGAAGGCATTGGTGCTCACTGTGGCCCCATCCTTGTCCTGGATGTACAGAGGGGAGTGGGAGCGCTCCGGCACATACAGCAGGAAGTTCAGCACAGGGTAGAGTGAGGCAGCGCTGGAGCCTGCAGCAGGACAGAGTCAAAGAACTCCCCTGGCTGCTCCCCAGCGAGAGCAGACTGCCCACACACAGCGCTGGGACAGAGCCCAGCTCAGCTCCTGCTTCCACAGCAAGCCCTGAGCAGAACCACCAGCCCAGCAGGTCTCAGTCACCCCTGCTCCCATCCAGGGCTGGCAGGACACAGTGCTGTGGCAAAGGGAAGGAGCACAAGCCATGGGCACAGCTGTCCCTCCTCCCTCAGCACGGCCTGGTCCTGTGAGAGACAGGTCAGGGGTACAGAGCTCACCCAGCCGGGCCTCCACAGGGTTGATGACGTGCGGGAGGCTGTGAGCGCTCAGGAGGAAGCTGGAGGACTCCTTGTCAAAGCGCGGTGTCACTCCTAGGACAGCGTAGTACAGGATCTGCAGGCACATAACAAAGGCATTGCCGGCAGAGAAGCACGTCCTGAGACACCCGGGATGGCCAGCGCTGAGCTCTCCCCAGCGCCTGCCCCAGCCCTCACCTGCGAGTCAACAGAGAAGTTGGCCACCAAGCTCAGCTTGTCCAGGACAGGCTGCACGTAGCGATTCACGGCATCCTCGATGTCCCACTCCACAGCGTGGGACTTGGGATCAGGGTTTAGCAGGCTGAAGGTGATCTCGTACCCTGCCGAGCGCCCATGGCCTGTGAGGCGCTGGCAGGGTGCCCGCCTGTGGACGCCAAGGCCAGGCACATGGCCGTGACGGAGCTCCCGAGAACGGCTGGACCTGACCCCCTCCTCCCTGGCCCTCCCCGAGGCAGGGTCATGCACCAGGACCCCAACACACAGCGACTGCAGTGCGGATCCTGGCCCAGAGCAAACGCTGAGGGTAAATGGAAGACCCCAGGGTCTGTTATCTCAGAAGATATCCAGGTACCCTACAAGCAGAGCAGGAACGGGATCTCCCCCCACAGAGAGCTCTCCCCTGCCAGGAAACGGGGCTCG